GGGGAGGGGCGGGGGAAGGGTTAAGCGGCTGGCCCTATGCAGCGCGGAGCCTCGCAGACCGCGGGAGAGGGATGTGGTGTGGCGAGCTGAGCCGAGCCATGTGTGGCGGCCCGGCCTGATGTACCCTGCCAAAAAACATCAACGGGAAGGCAGCGGGGTGCTCTGGGCTGGCACCACCCCTCAAGTCTCCTTGAACTATAGCGCTACAACCGTCTCAAGTTTTACGTCCATCTTTCTCTACATTCCTATGTATTAGTTTCTTCTTTACTAATTTTTATTTTTCTCTTCCGTGGCCTCTTTGGCCGTCGTCGTCGTCGTGGGTCTGCCGTGGGTCGGATGATCCCCTGCTGAAGGCGCGCGTGGGTGTCATCCCCCCATTCACGTCTCCCTGACACGTCAGTGACACGCCAGTGACAGGTCAGGCGGGGCGCTGCTGCCGCTCCCTCATTAGCAGGTGGTCCGTCCGTCCGTCCGTCCGTCCGTCCGTCTGTCTGTCTGTCCGCCACTCCTGAGCCGAGCGGCGCGGCGGACACTCGGACGAGGTGTCGAGGCGTGGCGGGGCCGCGCGGCTCGGGGCGAGCAAGGTCAGGTCAATCATTACTCACAAAATGATGACGAGTGCACGTCGGATTAAAGTTCAACAGCCGCCGGGTCGGGCCCGGTGGGCTGGGTGGGCCGCGGCCGCGGGCTGCGGTGGTGTGGGCGGAAGCGCCCGCCTGACCCGGGCCGGCCCGCCCGCGGCCCAAGCCGAGCCGAACCGCACGGCCAAAAGCATGACGCGGCACCACCGCCGCCCGGCCCAGCCCAGGGGGTTTATTTGAGGTTCATTTTCTGTGTAATCCATTACTATAAAGTTGCACAGATGTGGAAGGGAATCAAATATCGAACTGTTTTTATTTTTTTGTGCAAAGTTTATTCCTTGGCGTGGTTTCTGATCCATGGTACCGGCCAGGTAGCCGTCGACGCTCATCAATCAACACCTCCGCGACGCTAGTGTCGCATCCGGAAACGTTCCCTCTCGCTCTCTTCTTTATCCCCCCCTTACTCACTCCCCGTCTTTCGTTTTGTCTCTCACTCTCTCTCCCTTCCCCCTTCCCTCGCTCTCTCACCTTCGCGGTTGTCCCTCCAGATGACTTGCGGGTGACGACCTACGAGGCCTCTCTCTGGCTGCTCAACGTCGCCACGTGGGTTGATGTCTACCCGAGGCGCGTGGCGTGAGCGCAAAGGTGAGGCACAATCTATCCAATCTCTATCCTGTGCCTGCCCACTATATGAGTAAAAGAGAGAAAAGAGACCAATTTGAGTGAAAAGCGACAAAGTTGTTTCCGCGCAGCCGAAGCGTATATTATTGAATGGGGTTCTGTTTGCGTCACAGTGCTGCTGCCCGCGCGGCCGTCGCGGACTGGACTGGATTGGGCGCTGGACAGGTCCCACTAGTCGTCGCCTCGTTTCGTTCCCTCTTTTTTGGCCCGATAAAAAACGTATAAGCGGCATATAGTGGGACGCTCCGCGGGACCAACGGCCACTAATTTGATGAAGAATGTTGGCCTCCGCGGCGGCGTGTGTGCAGCTTTCTAGATCCTCTCTCTGACGTCACGACGACGCGTCCCGTGCCCCTCATCATCTCCGGCAGGACGGCGGAGGTGGCGACGTGCATGCACGTCCCGCACGCGCGCGCGCACGCACGGGGCGCCCCTTATTAGGGTCGCACGAGCCGGCCGCTGTGAACCGCGGCAGTGTCGGAGGGCCCCGCTGTGCGCCGCCGTGCCGTGTCCGAGACCCCCCGGGCGTCCCGGGGGCCGCGAGTAGCGCGTTAGTGCGTGTGCGGGGTATAGTTAGCGGGTGACCGCCAGCGCCAGAGCGTCAGCCAGCGGTTAGCCGTTTCGGCGAGGCGGGGCGGGGCGGGGCACCACGGCGACGACGCCGCACGCCGCACGCCGCACCACCACCACGCCGCGGCCGCGCGCCGGGACGCCTTGCGCCGCCGCCGCGAGCGGGGACGACGCCAACAATAGACAATGCTTTGGCCTTCACTTGCGTTGATCGGGCGAAAATAACGCCTTTGCGCACGTCATGTGCTACGCGTTGGTTGAGCGTTATGACCGCAGGGGAAGAGCTGGGGGAAGGGAAAGGGAAGGAAGGGGGGATCGAGTAGGCCGGGCTCTCTGCTCCGGCGCGGCGCGGCGGGGCCTTCCGGGGTCCCGCTCCCCGGTGCGTGGCGCGGCGTGGTTGCGCCATTTCATAATGAAACAGCATCACACTGTACTGCTCTCCATCGTGTCTATGGCAGCAGAGCGCCTGCACGAGAGGTTTCCGCCGCTGCCGCTGCTGGTGCTGCTGCGGGAGTTAATAAATTGCTTGTTTGCGTTTTCGGCTCGGCTCGGCGCGGTTGCGTGGCGCGGCCGGGCGCGGCTCGGCGTGCTGTGCGATTAGTCGGTGGCCGGGCGGAGCTGACCTTCGACCCGCTGGCTGCGGGGCCGGGGGCCGGGCCGCTCGCCGCGCCACGCTACGCCACGCCACCGCCTGGCTCGCGCCGGGCGCGCGCGCACGCGGGCACTCGGCAGGTGCACTCGACGTACACTGCCCACACCTTTGTGCGTGCTGGTGCTGCTGCATGTTCGTGCCGCGAGACTCGCCCGCCGGATCCAGACACCCGCCCGGGCCCGAGGCCACAGGGATTGGACCGAACGTTATTTTTGATTTGACGTACTTAACGACCCCAACGGTTTGACAACACGATCAGATACAGCCGGCCGGCCCATCACCTCTAGCCCAGCCGGCGTGTGAAACCTTATCAAGGACAAGAAGGGGAAGAAGACCCTTCTAGGTTGGCGTTTGGGACCTCTCTGGGGGCCACAGCGAGGCCGGCGGTGGTGACCTGACAGGTGACGTACTGCTTCCGGCTCGTCTTCATCAGTGACCCCAGGTGGGGCCCCCCGAGCCCCCGGTGCGGCCGCCACCTCGCCTGTGGAGCCTTATCACCCGACACCGACCGAGTCTAATCGATAATCTCTTCCCCCCTTCTTTTTTAATTGTCGTAGCGTTTCAATTAAATCATCTGCTCGTTTTCTTGTTATTGCGGCCGCTTCCCCACACCCTTTTCCTCCACAAAACAATTTCCCTTTCACACTTATTTTCGCGCAAGAGCCGCGCACAGCTTCACCTCTCCACCCCTTTGGTCCCCTTCTCCTTTTTTCTGCCATTAATTGTCATCGCGTAGAGGGGCCATAAAAGACAGTGCGCCCCGCCGCGCCCCGCAGACTGAGGGGTCAGGACAGGTAATAATCCTCGGCTCGATAAGTGTGAGGCCATTAGGGTTTTCGAGGAGTGGCGGGGAGTGGCGTGCCTAATTTTATTGTTGTTTTGATTGTCCCCTCGCAGCGGGGCGGGAGAGACAACTCCCTTTTGTGCTCTATGATGCAGTTGTTTGTTGTGATGGAGACGTCTTTTGCCCCCGCTCTATCTAATGTTTCCCTTTTTCGATTTCCAGGTGAGACTCGGGGAGCGGCTGCTGCTGCTGGGACTGCTCGGGTCCAGGTGCCGCCTCCTTTGGGCTGGAGCCCCGGCTGGAGCCTTGGCTGGAGACCCCGTGGTGCGTGCGTTTTACATTTCCATCGCCCGCCCCATATTCCAGCTGGACGCTGTCCAAAGATCCCCCCCGCCCTCTCCCCCGGGCCCTCATCCCGCACACCCGCCCGCTCGCCTTTTTTCATACTTTTTCACACTTTCACAATCGCGTTGTCTGGCCTGTCGTCGCCTAATCGTATGTAATGCGGCTTTTCAATGTCTCCATCTCTGTCGGCGGCCGCGTTATGAAAATGAAGTCTTATGGACGTCTCCGCTCGGGCCGCGGAGCCGGAGCCGCTGCTGCTGCTGCGGGCGGACGGGCTGCGGGTTGTAAATCGCGGGGTTTCTCGACGTCATTATTCAGAGTAGTAGTGCTGCACTCGCGCGCCGCCGCCGCCTCCGCGCCAAACGCCGTCGCGCTCCTGCTGCTGCTCCCCGCAGCCCGTCCTTGATCCCGCCTCAAATTCATATATCGGCGACGACGCTGCGCTCCGCTCCGCTCGGCTCCGAGGGCTTGGGTTACGGCTGCGGTGGGGCCGGCCCGGGGCGGACGGAACGGACGGGCATTAGAGTGCGGCCGGGCCGTATCAGGTTCGCCTGTTCGGGAGTTAATCTGCACTGGATCTCTCTCTCGCTCGCTCTCCCACTCGCCGTCACCTGGCAGCCGTCGGCGGGCCCCTCGCCCTGCGTGTGTGAGCCCCGGTCTTGCCGGGGCGCCGCCGAGGTCGCCGTCAAGCTCGCCGCCCCCACGCGTTCAAAGCTCCTGACCCTCCAGCAGCAGCAGGGGCGCGGCGGCGCTTCGGCCGGAAAGTGAGGGAAGCGAACGGGGAGAGCAAAAAAAAGAAGTTGTGTTGGCGGATGTCGGCTGGCCTGCCGGCCGGCGCTGGTGGTGCCCGGTACCCGGTACCCGCTCGATCACCGTGATACTTTCTCTGCCGTTCAGGTCAGCAGCCGGCCGCTCTGGCCTGTCGTCCACCACCTGATTCCTGCTCTGCTGTCCCCTGACTCCTGGACGACCTAACCCCGCGCCGTGCCGCGCCGCGCCCGGCCCGGCCCCGCCGCAGGGCACAAGCGTCCAGGTCCAGGCCATCGCCCGGCCCGGCCCGGGCCGCCCGTCCACAGCCAGACTCCTGAATTTCTCTCCCTCCTCTGCCGCCGCTGCCGCTGCTGCGACCGCCGCTGCTCCGCGCATTGCTCCCCTAATTGGGTCCGTTTGGGCCGTCCAAGGCTGCCGTGCCCCCCTGCCCTGTCCCCCTGGCATGCCCTGGAATGACCGGCCCTGCCCCCTGGCCCTGGCTTGTCGCACTCGCTCTCTCAGTCACACACACACTCGCGCGCTCGCTCGCTCACGGACGCTGCACGCTCAGGGGTCAGGGCAGGGGCCCGTCCACAAACTGCATAAAGAGCGAGTGTGCTGCTAATTTCCCAACTTTTTTGCGCACTTCTTTCTGGCATGAAAATAAAATACTAAAGGCATCAGGCCGTGGCAAAAGCGATGTTCGTCGCGCAAAAGCCGTGGTTTCATTACGTCCTTTACTTCCTGGTGATCATCATCCTCCCGGACGGTGACTAAAGCACCTCTCCCCGCCCAAACACCACGTGGTCCGTCACGACTAACGATGGGGCCCAACCGGGCAGCGCACGGCGTGTCCAGCGTCATCGTCATTGGGCTGGTCCAAAGAGGGGTCCGGGGCCCGACGACTCTGGGGCCCGGCCGGTCGGTTCAGTGATCGACCGGGCGATAAAGTGTCAAAGTGCCGAGGTCAGGGGCCGTCCGTCCCCTCCGGGCTGGGCCGGCTGGTCCCCTCTGCCCCCTTATCGAACGCACCGTGTCGCCAGGCCGGTCGGGCGGATGGCCTGGGCGTGGGCCAAGGGCCCGCCAGCCACCTGGACGAGTGTCTGAGAGCAGAGCCAGCATGCAACCAGGCAGGGCTGGTTATTGGTTGGGCCCCTACTACTACTGCATGAGCCGGGCTGCCACGCGCGCGAAGCGCGCCCGCCCCACCCCACCCCGCCACGCCTCGCCTTCCAAGTACGAACTAACAAGCGGAAGGACAGCGTGACCTATGGTGGCGTGGCCTGGGGCGCGGCCTGGGGCGCGGTGGCCCCGGGTCCCCTGTATCGGAGCCTGCATCTCTCACGGCGCCCCGGCCGCCGCCCGGCCCCGCCACGAGGGCCACCCACCCTGGCGTGGACCCCGCCTCCGCCGAGAACGGAACGCCAACCAACATCACGCCAAAAGCGCGCGCGCGAGCGCGCCAAATTTCCATTTATTTCTCTAAAGATAGGAGGAGAAAACAAGATTAGGAATAGCCGCCCCTCCCTGCTCCAGCAGGTGGTTTTGTTCCCCGGTGTTCCCTCCTCTTGATTAATCGCGCAGTGTCTGCAGCCGGAGCAGCAGCCAAGCCATACGACACACACAATGCGAGTAAATCACTAATTAAAACGTCTTGCTGCGTGCGGCAGTGCCTGGCAGTGCCGCGCTACGCACCCGCCGGGTCGTGCCAGCAGCAGCGGCAGCGGCAGCAGGACAAGAAGTAATTAATTACCTCCTCCAGACAGTTCGGCTCCCGAGCCCCCTTCGCCGCCGCGGTGAGTGCGGCTGCGGTGTGCCGGTCGGTGCCGGGCCCGGGCCGCGGGGGCGCGCTGATGGCCCGGCCCAGCCCGGCGCAGCCCGCGGCCACGCACTCACACTCACGGGCTTTGGGGTCAGTTCGAGGTCCATTCACCCGGGGCCTTCCAGCTCCAGGCCGGCTCCAGGCAAGCTCCAGGCAAGCTCCAGGCAAGCTCCGGGCCAGCCCCTGGCCAGCCCCTGGCCAGCTCCCGGCCATCTCCAGGCAATCTCCAGGCTGACTCGAACGCGCGGGGTCACTCTGCGCCGCTTCTGCAGTGTTCCTGGAGACGACTGCTGCTGCTACGCTATGCCGCTTGATTGGCCCTTCCCTTCCCTTTTTCGATTCGCCCTGCTTCCACCACGTGCCGCGGCAGCAGCGCCGCGCATTTAGACAGAGACAGGGAGACGGATGGACACGTGTGAGTGAGAGGGTGGCCGCCGCCGCCGCGCTCGCCGCGCGCTGCCCATCGAGGCTGTACGGACCGTCATCATCTTTATAATGAAGACATCTCGGGCTGTAATTATATTTTCTTCCGAGCTGCATTAGGCGCTGATGACGAAAACTATTACAGATCGGTACCGTGCGTGTGAGTGAGTGTGTGGGAGGGGAGCTGCGCGGTGTGGCGGTCATTGATAGTAGTGCCGGCAGGAAAGTAGCCCCCCCCCACCCTCTCCCCTCCTAACCCTCATGCTGTTGTGGGAATGGAGGAGACATTCACTCGAGGTGCTAGGCTGGTGCGCTGGCCCCTCTGCTGCTGCTGCTCCAGGGCCACGGATGGAGGTGGCTCTCTGTCGTGATGAGCTGCACAAAGCCGTCGTCAGCAGCAAGCAACAGTGGTTGTGACGAAAAAGGGGTACTTGTTGGGCGGGGCGGGGCAGCTGATCTGAATACCTTCTCACTCCGTTCCCATGGTCAGCAAGAGGCCGGGCCCACTGGACTGTGTCAAAGGAGCGGCTGCAAGGGACCTCAACGCGGGGCGCGGCGCGGCTCGCCTGGGAGGTAGGCAGCCAGGGCAGGACTCCCTTTCGTTTTCTTTCCTCCTCTCTGCTCTGTTCCCCCCGCTGCTGTCGCCTTCCGTTCCCTCCTCCTCCTCCCCCTCTCGCTCCCCAGGGCACGTGGGAACCCAAAGTGAGTGCGTTAGCGAGGCTCTCGCGCTCTGAGCAGCGCTGCACGGTGTGCACCCGTGGGCACCACCACTGAGCTCCACCGGGCACCGCCGCGCCGCGGGTCGCCGGTCAGGCTCCTGACCCCTTCTACTGCCGGCCGTACCGACGTACCGCGCCTCAATAATTCCAAACTTTTTACTCGTCTCTTTTCTCTTCTTCGGATTGGAGACTCGGTTTATTTTGGGTCTGCGCGGCCGGCAACAGGCAGTGGCGTAGATCGGAGACGCACTTTTCTTGTAAATTTAATTTTTTGCGCAGCCCGCGAGTAGTAGAAGAAAGGCTATCGCGGGACATCGCTGACGAGGCCGCTGCCGTGAAAGCACAAAGCGCCTCCGCCGCGGTGTGCCGCGCGCGGCTTCGCCACCGGCCACTCTGCTGAGGTCACGACGGGTCGCGCTCCGCGGTGGCGTGGCGTAGCGTGTCGCGGAGCGGAGAGCGCCGATTAGCGGCCATCGAGGGTCAGTCAGGTGTAACGCGGCTGTGGCGCCCGCCTGGTCATCGGCGCCGGCCCGGGTCAGCCGGGGCGCGGCGGGGCGGGGCGGTTCCCCATCGATCGAGCTGAGCCGAGCCGATCCACGCCATCAGCTCGACCGGGCACACGGTGCCTTTGACGGCTCGTTAGTTGCGACCGGCCGGAGCCGCCCTGCCGCGCTCCGCCACGCCTTCCTCGGGTCCGCGCCGTTTGCCCTTCCTGAATAGTAGCTCGCTGACTGGCCTCTCTGGACTCGTCTCGACTCGAATGGTCCGTCAACCTCCTCCTCCTCCTCTCTGGACGACGTCTCTAGGTGTGGCTGTCCTGCCCCCGCCACGCCGCGCCACGCTCCGCGTCCACTTTCTTCCGATCAATCTGTCTCGGGCCGTGCGTCTAATGGCGGGGCAGGGAGCGCGGTCGGGGGCGGGGGCCGCCGAGGCGACGAGCTCTATCGCCGATCTCGTGGGGCCGAGAAGCGGCTGCTGCGACACATTGTCCCCAAGCCTAACGCCCGGGAGGACCCGCCCGCCCCACCCCGCTCCGCCCTAGCCACCGCAGTGCGGCCCCCGGGGATGACGTTGGCAAAAGCACTGACACTTTTGTGTGTGGTGGGGGACACTGGGGGCCCCGGCCGGGTCCCGGCAGCGCGAGGAATTATATAATTAGCTCTTTCACCTGTGGGCTCTTTGAGGTGAGTGAGGGAACGAGGGAACCGGGAGGGAACCGGAGGGAACTCTTGTGATGGGAACCCGGGAGGAACCCTTCCCACGGG